GAGGAAGGGAAGGAACAAGGACGAACTGTAGCGCCCGTAGGGGAGCACAGGGCGGAACCACCCGCCCACAGCTCACACCAGCCAGGACCTAGAGAAATACCAACTTTAATACAACCGCCAGTTCCTTTGGTATAACGGGGCCAGGGGCCTGCGAGGGGCGGGGCTACGCTTTGGCTTGGGGGGAGTTACACTGTGCATGCAGGGGAGGTCCCTCCCACCAACACCCCGGGCTGCCAGAGTTGCCCGTGCCCGGCCGAGACGGGCAGGGAGGAAAGGGACGCGGTGGTGGATGTACTGGAGCACAAGCATGTCACGGATGGGGTACAGGGTGGTCGGAGCATGGGGGAGGCTCTGTAACCAGCCCCTGCTCTTGCATAAGAGTGTGGGACCTGCGGGGTCAAGGCACAGAGTTAACACGTAAAGTGATCTGGCTACAGTCGAGGGCCTCGTGCTTGGAGGAGCAGAGCCCCCCATGGGCCCCTTTCTTGGCCCAGGGGCCAGAGATAAAGACAGGCTGCCTCTGGCTCAAGGGGGCTCAGCCCTGCCAGTCCTAAGCCCATGCTGGTGAGCACAAGAATGGCTGTGGCACAACAGCAGGACTGGGTTTTGGTAGGAGCAAAGGCTGGAGCTGGAGGGGCAGGGGCTTCACAAGAACAGTTCCCCACCCTGCAGGCACTCACAGCCTGAGCCTCCCCATGGCCACCAACTCCATGTGGTGGAAGGAGAGCCCTGTTCTCAGCCAAGTCCATGTTCAGGATGGTGCACCTAGGTGGAGCACCTAGAAGAGTCTGAGTGCTCCTTGGAGCATGTAACATGGCCAGAGGGCTGTGCATTGGGGGTGCTGTGCACTGGGGTCCCCAGACGCTCACAGTCTCCTCTCCACTGGCTGCTGCAGGCACATCTCACTGCCGGCCGAGATGATGGGTAGGTGATTGTCCATGTGGTAGCTGATGAGGTGGCTGACGCTCTCAAAGCGATGATCTTTTGTCCGCACCTGGGGGGCCGGAAAAGGGGCACTCAGAAGGCTGTCAGTGGCCCACACAAGCCCAGAGCCACCACCTTCCATGGCATGGGCTAGGCACAGAGCTGTAGCTGCAGTCTCAAACCCATGCTACACCAGGCCCTCTCCATCCCCAAAGCCAGTCCAGAGTTGTTCCCTGACAAGTAGTGCAGAACCCCAATGCTCTGGTGGCTCTTGTAACTCCTAGGACTGCCCCTGCTGTCCCAAGCTCCATCCCCAGGCCCCTACATGGACTCACCACTCCCTCAGGATCGACGAGCAGCAAATGCTTGGGCTGCCCACCCTGCAAGCCAGTCAGCACGTACTGGCCTGGGGTGGTGGTGCTCTCCCGCACCAGAAAGTCTCCATTCACCTTCAGCAGCTTCTCAGCCTCCTTGCGGCTCATTTTCCCATGGTACCAGTGCTCCCGTCTCAGCTGCTCCTCCATGGAGGCCATCACCTGGGCGGGGGGCAGCCCTACAGGCACAGATGAGGGCACACGCAGGGCATCTTCAAAGGGCTCTGCAAGGAGAGAAGAGCAGGGAACCACAACTATGCCCACAGCCAACTATCTACTGCCCTGGCTGCAGCCACTGTTCCACTCACTCATGTCAAAAAGGTCCCTCTGTGTGCTGCCATTGGCTGTGGCTGGGGTGCCAGCAGCTGAAGCTTGACGTGTCTTGTCTATGTTCTGCACGTTGACGTAAGACGGGTCATCAAACAGGTCCATGCGGCCAGATGTGCCTGCCGGAGCTGGGTATTTCTCTCTCCCTGCTACCAGGAGCACTGTGGTCAGCAGGGCTTCAGCCTATCTAGGGCCCCCACCAGTGCCCACCATCAGAGCACTTCGGGTCCCTGAAAGAGGATGGAGACTGGCCGAACCCATCACATTACCTTGGGCAGGAGCATGCTGCTTCTGGGGGTCATAGTCGCCACTGGATGACTGGCCGACAGGCTGCAGGGAGAGACAGTGATGAGCCCCCTCCCCCTTTCCTGCTCATTTCCCTTCCTGCTCCCCACACCCCAGGCTGACAGAGACACTGGGGAGACATAAGTAACCTTCAACACAACCCATGGCCCAGTGAGGGTCCCTACATCTCCCTTTTAACATAGTGTCTTCCCAACAGGACATGCTCAGAGCCTCACCAGTGTGGCACCCAAGTGATTTGGGGTCTGAGCAGCCCCATCCTGCAGCCGCATGTCCAAGACCCCCCCAATGGGAGGTTCCTTGCCAGGGAAGTCGTTGTAGTACTGGTGATCTGGGGCTGGTTCCTCCTCTTCTTCATCCCAGGCAGAGCCATCAAACCCTGCCATCCTGGGAGAGCACAGTACAGATAAGCCCATGACAGCAGCCACAGCTGCATCCCCTCTCCAAAACCACCTTCCTTCTTGCCACACAATCCTGCTCTGACCTGTCGTGGGGCGTCACCAGCTTTGGAGGATTCTTCAGGTACTGCTTGAAGCGCAGCTCAAAGGCCTGCCCTATGGTGCTGATCACATCCTGTGCCAAGCCTTCAGGACACTCCAGGATATGGCAGGCTGGGTAGAAAATGGTGGGATGGGATTGTGGAACTCCAGCACTAAGGTTCTTCCCCCCTGAGCCTGGCCTGTACACTCCAGAGCTTTCTTATGGGTCATCCACTTCTGTGTGTCGTGTCGTCCCCCCCCCCCCCACACCTTCAAAATGGGGCTTTGGCATTGAGAACCTTTGCAGCACCCTCACCTCTCTGATTGACGGGGTCTTTGGCAACATAGGCAACATACTCAGCTGTGTCCTGTGGGTGGAGACAGCAGCAGTGAGACAGGGCTGCTGGGGAGCACTGGGCCTAAGACCTAAGACCTCAGGAGAGGCCCTGACACAGGGCATGGATGGGGGCCCTGCGTACTCACCGGGTCTCCCCCTGATGCGAAGGATATAGACTGCATGTGGTGGTTGGCGATGATCTGCAAGGTGGAGAGCTTGTTGGACACAGCCAGGAATTTCTTATATCTCACCCATAAGTGGCACATCCCGCTCCTCCCAGGGCTGACCTGCCATGGGGGCTCAAAATCCTCCAGAGCCCTGGTTATGAGCCACAGACCACGAGGAAAAGGACTGGGACATCACTGGGAGTGGGGTCAAAACCAGGAGATCTGGCCCCAGGCAAGGGGATTTGGGTCTCACCACCTCCAGGAGAGATCCCGCAAAGCACATGGGATATTCCTTCCCCCTCTTCAGCCCCAGGGACTGCGGGGAGGTGGGCACTCATCACACAGCTCATTCAGACATTCCCTGAGGAGGCTGGGGGCATGCCCTGCCCCAGCAAGACCTGGGGTGAGTTACACGAAGATTCCTAATTGCCCAAAGCCAACTCAACCCCTCCCCATTCTCACCTGCTTGCAGTCTGAGGCCATGAGGTTGAGGCTGCTGGTGGAGATGGTCAGGGTGATGGGCATGCCTGCAAACTTCAGGTTGCTCTTGCCCAGGATGGAGTTCAGGGAGCGGCTGCAGGGCTAGGGGCAAATGGTAGTATAGAGAAGGGGCTCCCCAGACCAGACAGCAGACAGCCCAGCGGCAGGAGGACAGGGCACATCCCTCTGATTTCACAGTAGAGATGGGCACCTTGTCCTCACCACTGGCCCTGGCCCAAGCCTCAGTTCGAAGATCAGACCCCTGGGCTGACCAGCACAGCACTGCCAGTTGGGCTGGGATCTGGTCCTTGGCCCTGTGCCTGAACCAGCCATGCACGCTCCCCCAGCAGCTTCCCAGCCAGGCCTCACCTTCCTTCTCCTCATGGCTCCCTTGGCACCAGGCACAGCCTCACATACCAGCCCAATGGCCTCCCTGCAGGGAGTAGAGTGAGACGTCAGTCTCCACAGTGCCTGCCTTTCCCCAGGACCCCCCAACCATGGGACTGAGGACACAGGGATCAGCACAAGAGAGACAGGGTGACAAAGTGAAAGCTCTCAGGCAGTGCCAGCTGGGGCTGTTTGGGTGGGCAAAGTGCACTGGAATTAGTACTGGATGGGCTCCAGCAGCCCCTGGACCCCACTGAAAGCCCCACATACCATGGGCTTGCCTAGGGCTCAGACAACTTCCTCACCCCTCTCCAAAAGAAGCAGCCCCTGGGGAGAGGCAGAGCTCACCTGGTCACCTGTGTCCTGGTGTTGAAATCCAGAGCCCGCATGGACTGGAGCACTTCCACACAGCCCATGTACTATGCAAGAAAGCAAAGTGAGATTGGCCAGCCATGAAGTTTGTCCCCCACGCAGCCCGGGAGAGGGCTGGGGCCTCAAGCACCCCTCAAGCTCTGTAAGAGCAGTAACTTCCCTGGGAATCTCACTGCCCATTGCCCTGTCCCCCACCCCTCCCCCAAAGACCATGGTGCATCCTATCACCAGGAGGTCTCCAAACCCCACAGTGACCCTTCCCACTCTCCCCTACTCCCCAGCACTCACCCGGACGTGGTAGGAGACCCCAGAGCCCATGACCTTGTCATCAGGATGCAGCCAGCCACGGGTGGGCTTATTGACAAAGCTGCCATGGCGGGTCCATTCATCACCCCCCAGCTGGCCACCTTCCACCCGCGTCTTCTTCCCACAGCTCAGTTTGTTCATATCCTGGGAACAGACAGTGACAGGTCTCACTGAGCTGGGGCTGGCAGCAACCCCTAGCACCAGTGCTGGCATCCCAGGGGGATCAGGTTCCCCTGAGTTGCTGCCGGCTGAAGAGCCCCGCAAGCTGAGCAAGTTGACAGGATTGGAGAGCTTCAGGTTGGCCATTTTGGGGAAGAAGGAGCAGAGGGTGGTAGGGCTCTCCTCCAACTCAGGTGAGTGCTCCCCGAGAGGTGCAGCATGGCTGAGGGAGGAGGAGGACAGGGAACCAGGCAGAGAATGCATGCTTGCAAAGGACTCCATTGGGGAGGGTGGGACTCCCAGGCCCACCATGGCCTCCTCTGGAGAGGAGACAGACTCATTCCGCAGGTGGCTGTATTTGCTCTTTTGCAGGAGATCCATGCTGGAGACAGGTGAGAAGGGCCAGAGCCGCCCTGTCCAGAGTGGCAGTAGGGTGGATGCAGCCAGCTGGGCCTCACAGAGGCCCCACAGAGAGTCCGAGTGCCTGCAGCTGCTGGGAAGCTGCCCCTGAGCAGAAGCCTTGGCTGAGCTCTGCACTAGGTCCACACCAGCCCAGCATGGCTGGCAGGGAGAGCTGGGCCTGGGACGCTGGGCAGCAGGTCCAGGGGCTGCCTGGCACTGTGCAGGCACAGCCGATCAATCGTGATCGGTGTCAGCAAGGATGTGCAGATCCGTTCAGATTGAGAGCAATGCAACACAGCAGGTAGAAAATGGGGCTGCAGTGACACGCCAGGGAGCCGCTGGTACGGGGGGGGAGCTCAGAATGCTCTGTTCCCCAGCCTGGAAGTCCTCAAGACCCTTGCCACTCCAACACTGGGCCAGGAACAAATCCCATTATCTTCATCCAGGACCAGATCCAGCTCCCTCTGCCCTGTTGCTGGGTTCAGCACGGCCACTCTCCACCCCACAACTCACTCCAGCCCCCGTGCCGCTGCCCGCTAAGAGGAAATCAAAAGCATGAATATTTAAAGCCCAGAGACAAGGCAGACAAAGAATGCATCCAAGCCCATCCCAGCCCTGCTCCAAGCACTGTCCAGGAGGGAACAAGGTCCTTCTGTGGCAGCCCGTGCCACGCAACCCACGTGCCGGTGGTGAGCAGCTGCAGTTGGCTTGCCAGGCTCTGCCGGGGGGAGCAGCAATGCTGAGATGACACCGGTGCTCACAGCTTCCTGGAATACAGGGACATGCAGTCCTTTGAGAGCACAGATCTTGCCTGGAGGGCTGGTGGGAGAAAGAGGAGGATGGCCAGGAGCAGGATACAGGTAGGCTATGCCCTGGGCAAAGCAGGGCTTAGCACAAACCCCCAGCCATGGTGGGGAGCCTATGGGAGAGGCTGCAGCTAATTGCTGCTGCTTCCCGCATCCCAGCTGTTCCTCCCGGGAGAAGCGATGAAGGGGCTGTGGCTGATCGGAAGAGCTGTGCTGACTCACAGGCGGCAGGGCAGGCTCTGCCCGAGGCGCGGGCTGTGCTGGGGCTGGGGCGCAGCGCAGGAGGGGCTCCCGGCGAGGGGTGGGGACGCAGCGCTTATCTGGAGCAGAAAAATCAAGTCACAGGCGGGGCTAGCGGTAGCGGGCAGCAAGAATGTGCCGGGGGCAAAAGTTGGCACCTTCAGCCTCGGGGAGCTGGGCAAAACTCCCACCTGCGGATCTGGGGGGTCAGGGGCAGGTCTGCCCTGTTCCCCTATCCTTGACGCACTGGCATGCAGCAGGAACTTGGGCCAGCCCGACTGTGCTGCCCTCCACAGCCTTGGCCCCACTGAGGGACAAGAGCTTTCCTCCCTCCACCACCTATGGGCTGAAGCAAGGAGTTCAGGCAGAATCCAACCCCTGACACACCACAAGCCAGACCCTTACCAACCACCAGGTGCTCTGGCAACCAAACCAAAACTGGGTAAATTCAGGCCAAGGAAAAGGCTCTCTCTGCTTGGAGCCTTTGCCCAGCCACTGCTTGGCACTGGCAGATGCCTGCCCCACTTCACAAAGCCTGTTACACTGCTATGGGGACAGGGAAAGGAAAGTCAGAACAGGGCTGGAAATTGCCACCTATGTGATGCAAGGGGCTGTGGCACATGACAGCAGGCCCATCACTGAAGCATCTCCTTGGCCATGCACACTAGCTCTGTGAACACCAGCCCCCCCACCAGCCATGGTGGTCCCACAGGCAGAGAGTCTGTGCTGGCTGTTCCACAAAGTGCTTGTCCCCTCCAGGGGCCCCCAGCTGTTCAGCGCTGTGACCTTCCTGTGGCTGCAGCAACACTCCTCTAAAGAAAAGCAGGAAGCCCGGAGCCAGGAAGTTGCTGGCCTGGTGAGGAGCCAGGGTAGATTGGCTGGGCAGCATCAAGTGGCCACAGGGCACTGGGGCTTGCCCATGACAGACTGGCCACTGGCTGATGTGGGTGTGGGTGGGCCTGTCTTGGCATGGCATCTCTGTGAGCCCTGATGCTTCCCCAGGATAAGAGCAGGAGGGAATTGCAAGGGGGCAGAAGTGACTCCTTCGCCCCTTCCCACCACCCCAGAGCAGCCATCACCTCCAGGAAGAAAAAGGGCTAATGAGCCTCCCAGCTGAAGCCCCTGCTCAGACACATGTCTGCTTTTATAAGCTAGAGTAATTCCTGATTTTCTCAGAACCTTCGAGGCCAGTCTGCCCACATCACTCAACAGCCTTTTGCAAGATGCATTGCAGCTTCCAGCCCTTGGAGACCAGAGCTGCCACCATTACAGCTCTGCAAGCCCCAGGGCATCAGACCTCCCTCCTAGTGAGCTCTGAGTGCAGTAGGTAAACCTGGAGATGTGCAAAGGCGCAGAGTGCTGGCCCTGCCTGAACAGGCAGTCCCAAGCCACAGGCTGCAGCCATCCCCCTTGCCAGGAGCTCCTGCCCCTGCAGCAGAGTATGAGCAGAGCAGCTGGAACAACTGCCCCCAAGGAGCTCTGGGGACATGTCCTGGCTCAGCTGCTCCATGTGCCTTGCCACCACAGAAAGACAATGGATCATGAGAAACAGAGGGATGTGGGCTACTTTCAGGCACCTGAGACTGGGACTTCACATACCACCTGGGGCAAGGAAGAGAAGCAGAGTGGGGATGCTCAGGGCTCCACTACCAACATACTCTCTGGAAAAAAACTGGGAGCTGAGTCAGAGGCTTGGAACATCCCAGTGGTTTGGCAAGAAATTGCAGCAAGGTGTGGGCGGTCACACATACAAACCTTGCCCTGGGCAGGAAACCCCCCCTCTGTCCAACTGTAGCCAATGCTGAACTGCTGAGGCAGGGGTGAAGTAAAGGAGAACACTCATATCCAGCCAATAGCTGATTTTTTTCCCCCACGCATCACAGCAGCATCAAACAACATTTATGCATTCCTGCACACAACCTCTCCTTCATTCTGAAGAGGAGGTTAGGAGATGCCAATGGAGATCTGGGCAAGAGACTGGAGACCTCCCAGAGGGCAGAGGAGGCAGGCAGGATCCACCACCAAAGCCACTTAGCCCTCCACCGAAGTCCTTACCACATACTCCATCGCCGGCGGAGGGCAGGGCAGGCCCCGGGCAGGGAGCAGAGACACACAGCCCCTCTTGTCTGGCACTCTGACCTGCGGTTCGGGGACAAACAGGGAATTAGCCAGCCCTGTCCCAGCCTGCTGAGGTGGGGGCCATGGTGCCAAGAGGCAGACCCTGCTCCTCCATGCTGTCCACAGGTAGATGGGGCTGTGGCTGCTGTGCAACATGCTGCTGACACAAGAAGGTGAGAGAAACCTGGAAGCCACCTTTTTCCCATTGGAGAGAGGATGGAGATGAAATGCGCTGGGAAAGGAACATGAGGCCTGGCACTGCTTAGGCCCTGCCCAAGCTGGCAAATGGTATCAGTAGCTGAGATTCACTCTGTGACCCCAGACAAATGTTGGAGCTGATCCCTACCTAGCCCAAAAATCAGTATTGGAAAGCCACATGCAAGGAGGGAGAGTGAAGGCAACCCAGGGGGGCAGAGGTCCCCCCTCCTCTACCTCCTCAGCTGGCATTCTGATGCAAAATTATGCACAGAGCCCCCAGGGCTGTGTCACTTCCTCCCAGGAGACCAGTGAAGAAAGGAGTCACGGAAAGAGTCTACAAGGGGTGAGCTGGCAGAGGCAGGAAGCTCTGCGAAGGGAAAACAAGGCAAGCAAAGCTCTTCTCACTCCCACTGCCCAGCCAAGGCAGTCAAGGCCTGGCCAGTGGAGCAGTGCAGGGCAGCAGATGATTTACTGCTTGGCAGCAATTGTACCTTTATCTGTGGCCTGTGCCAGCTGTCATCATTAGCTTGGAAGGTGGCAAGATAAGGAGAGCTATGCTTTGCAATGGCAGTGGAGATCAACCCCTGCAGCACCACGCCACTGCCAAGCAGGGGTGGAGACCAGGCCATTTGGACATCAGCACTGAGGCTGGCGGCAGGGAAGGAACATCTGGACCTGGAGCAAGAGTGCTCAGCCCATTTGTGTCCCTCCTGAGGAAGGTACGCTGCTTTGCACAGCTCCAGAGGTGGCCCAGCCAAGGCATTTCCCCACCAAAGGGCAGTGGGTGGATCTTCATGCCCCACTTGGCTGAGAAGAGATGGCATCTTCAGTCCCTCTGTTACAGGCTGACACCAGGGCAGCCCTGGCAAGCACTGACAAGTGCCCTTTGGCCACAAACTTCTGCAGTGCCAACGTGGCAAGCAGGGCCCAGGTCACGTTTCCCTGGAATGACCCTGTCCATGGTTGATAACCTGTGTGGGTGACCCCATTTAAGAAATTCAACAGGAGAAGCAAGAACAGATGGACACAACACACTGCTGGAGAGCAGACATAGATCTGCAAGGGGAAACAGCTACCCATGTCCACAACAGCTGGGTAGGCTCCAGGTACTCACTGCTGCCTTACTCTGAAGCACAGAAGGCAAGAGGGCAGACCCCAGCACTGCAAAGGGTGAGGAACCCTCCAAACCCAGCCGATGCCCCATCCCTGCTGGAGATCATGCTAGTCTTGGGGCTCGGGGTTCTTCCCAGACCCTGGAGCACCTCTACAGCAGGTGTCCTTCCGTGTATCGCACCAGTACGGGGTGGGGCAAGCCTAAGCCCGAGGCACACACAACCAGCCGCCAGGTCGGGTGGGTCACCTCAAGATCTTAGCACAGCACGGCACCGGCTTCTCCAGCCGCCGTCGGGCCGCATATGGGAGGGTCCGGGCCTGCCCCACGGCTAGGCTCCCTCACGCTGGGCAAACGAGACAGCTGGGAAGGGCGGCTCGGCCCTCACAGCCCAGGGAGCGGCTGGGGCAGAACCCCCACTCGTTCCGCGGAAGGTGGCGGCGAGCGATGCGGCCTCAGTCTGGCGACACAGCGGCCACGGGGGCACCACTGGGCCTGGCCTTGGATCCCGGGTCCCGCGCGGACCCCC